AAATTTCGACCAATCAGGAACTTAGATTTTGTTTAACAACCAAAATAACAAAAGAAAAAAATCTTTGAGATCAGAAAGCCTAGCCCCTTCTCTCCCTCGCTCAGTGGTCAAAGCATCCACCTGAGAAGGAAGACAAAATAGTAGTGCAAGGCTCACAAGTTTATAGCTCCTAGCAGCTCAAACAGAGATGTGACTTCAATATAAAGAAAAAATGTAGAATCAAAACAATTAGAGAAGTAGGATACCTCATCAAAGAAAAGTATGCATGGAGAACATGCCCTTGCACGTCTGAAGAGAGTCCGCACCGCAAACTCACTTTCACCAACATTTTTATTGAAAAGTTCTGGACCCTACAGAGACAAACAGCAAAACAAGAATACTAAAAGGAAAGAGTCAACAACAATTATTCGACCAAAGTATAGTACTGGCAGTAGTGCTGAACCTTGATATGTATAAAATTTGCTTCAAACTTCAAGAGCAACAGCCTTGGCAATTAATGTTTTCCCGCAGCCCGGAGGACCATAAAGCAAAAACCCCTTCTCTTGGTCCACATGCTGAAAGCAAAAGAAATATTACAAGAAGAAACGTAGCTTAAACTATACCAAAAGGCAGTGATTTCTGCAATGAAATAACCACATTTGATATTGAGACACTACAAACAGCAACTACTTTCAAACAATAAACTCAACCAAAAGAACTTAAGAACTCGTGATGATCTTGATAATATATGATTCCAAATTCATAGCAGAAAGACTAGTTCAATATGATGATTCCCAGTTTATTAAATGAGAATCATCTGAAGATAAAACTATCATTTTGTAATATAACAAGGAAAGCCCGCGGTCCTCTACGCAACAGCACTCCTCTGCAAAGGAGCACTCTTGAACTCTCTATGCAAACTTGAAAAGAAGTATCTCATCTAAACAGTAAACCGAACATTAAATACCTAAACACAAGATTAACCATTATCCAATTTAAAGACTATAACCAGCATTTGCAATACATCTATTAGCATAGTCTAGCTCAGTACATAAGATGGTGGCGTGATCTAAGTGTTTAACAATTGATTATTGGTAGTGGAGAATTGTTAGCCACAAGACCACCTTTCATCCAAAGAATCTATTCTAGTTTGAATATCTGCAATTCGTAGCACTACTTCATATTCCTTAATATCAATAGAATCTAGAATCATCCAACTGTTTTCTTCTCCTGACCATCCAGAGTAGTTCCAGGCTTAAAAAAGTGTGAAATTTTTCTTTGCAACAATTCAAAATTCTGAAAGACATTGACATACAAATCCATAAAGAGGTTGTTATCTATGCTTCTAATGCTCTATTGAGAAAAATATCCCATTTTGTAGGACCAGATGAAGAACATAATATGACCAAGTCTTGTACTCATAACCATCCTAGACAATCAGTATGCATTTGAAACCCAAACTATGAACTTATGCATTGCCCTGTTAGCAGACACATAGACCAACACATGTTATGCCAAAAACCAAGCATAAAAGTTAAAAGCACAAAGTCATGTAACTACGTAGATTGAAACCTCTAGCATGAAATAAGAGAGTATGACTTGATTGATACCACAATAATAGCATATACAAAAACAAACAACATCATCAACAACAACAACAAGTCTTTATCCCACTATGCAAGGTGGGTTATATGGATCATATGTCACCTTCTATCGACACACATACTTTCACATAAATTTAAATAACTCATGTAATTTGTAATAGTTTCTTTCCATGTCATTTTAATAATAGCATATTATATATAGAATTAAGCTTCAAGCAGCATTAATAACCTAACACGCAAGCCTATAAAAACTTGTCATACCAAATTTACATCCAACAAAAAGTGCAAGTCTATGAAATGCCTCATCTACAATTTTGCATCCAATGGAAAGCCTACTGCCAACAATATTTAACTGGAGAGAAGAAAATAAGGGATGGAAAAACCTATCAGAGGACATCCTACTTATAATTTAAGATCAGAAGAATTTTGGTTCTAATCGAATAAATGAAATTAGTTACCTTTATCTCTAGAAACTTTATAACTCTGACAATATAACAGTCAAATTCCTGGCTCAAAATGTTTAGTCCTCCAACATCAATCCATTTCACATTCGGAAATGCAGAAAACCCTTTAATCCTTGAAGAAGGTTGAACCTTTCTAGCTGCTTCCTGCCACCAGTCAAGGATTGAAAATTATACCACAAATTTGGAAGTTAGCCAGTTCCTTCTAAGGGAAACAGTTACTGGTGATCAACCTTGCAGTAAACAATAATGCTAATTTATGCATTTTGTAATGTTTTATGACAACTGATTTAGTGAAGCAATAATTGTCAGAGAAATAATTCATCTTCATCACAAAACATTGACAATGAGACTCCTTATCCCTCTGTCTCTCCTCATTCTTTACCAATCAACATAGAGGTGGGCACAATGGACAAGAGGGTCAGACAAAAATCATTATTATAACTAACTGATGAGAATAGTCATCAAGGGCAAAGCAACTGCAGATGCCTACAACAGATTCAAACTCTATTTGTTTCAAAGACTACCACTAGAAGACCCAATTGCTTATTCAAGTGAATGATGATCCAAAGAAGCCTAATAAGCTCTATAAAAAAATATTGTTATGTTCTTTAACAAAAAAAGGACTAGGGAGAAAACAGGAAAATAAGGAAGAAAAGGAACAGGTTGTCCCATCTACTAAAAGAATTACCTCAAAATCAGTGATGGTGATACTTCATTCTCTATGTCTTGAATCAACGAAGGTAGCTTCCACAATTCCCAGGAATCAGCTCCATTCACATTTTTCTCAAGAGCTCAACTTTCCTGTGGTTCCCTATTCTCTCCATTGCAAGATAGCCAGCCTCATCCTTGAGTTTGGCGAAGTAATCCCCAACAAAACCTGTGGTTGCCCTGGCTATTTTTAATAAATTAATTCACCTTCAAATTTTATATCTCATGTGAGTACTGAAAGAGTCTCTACCCTAGCATTTTCATCCGGCACACCCAAAGCAAATTCCCAATCAAACCCTCCAGCCCTTCTTTAGGGTCAAGAGCATCAGACCTATTTGTAGCTCCAAAACTAAAACACGACCAGGTCTGGCATTAGAGTTTTCCGAGTCTAAATCACCAACAGAAGGTTTCCTGGTCGATGTAATTCATCCATGCAAGTTATCAACTGCGTGTTTCTTTGCAATTCTCATTGCTGATTTTCCCTTCTCCAAGTTATCGCATCAATCTCATCAATAAAAACAATAGAAGGATCTGTCACGTCTGCTTTAAAGAAAATCTCCCTTATGTTTTCTTCTGACGCACCTAAAATATGAGGCAAGAACTCAGTCTCAAGATTATCACGCAGACACACAGGAGTTATGAAAACGGTGAGATAATAACACAAAGCAATCCAAGAGACCATCAAAATGTTTTATTGACTAATAGAAATTTCTCAACTTCTACCCAACATCAAAATGGACAGTAACCCTTCAAGATCAGAGGAATATCAGGATCACTTAGACATATGCGGCCAAAACTTCTTGTACACATTTTATCATCCAAAGGCAATTGAGGTGAAATAGAGAGACCAATAAGAACAGAAGTTAGTCATGTTACCCGAAAGTGAACCATTTAAGAAATCCTTCCTTATTACTGAGAAACAGAAAACACCATTGTTGGTAGTAAGAGCAAGACAAACATTGCCGAAAAGATCAAGTTACACTACCTGAGATTCCAGTCACCAATTCGGTAGCAGACATCTCGTAGAAAGGAAACCAACCTCATTGGCAATCGCATGCACCGTGCAACAAAAAATTCCAGTTATTGGCCTAATTCGTAGATGAATTGACAGTTGTGGATGAATACAGCGGCGGTTAACACCTTCATCTTCAGTTCCTTCACCAGTTCATCGATTCCACCTCAATCTTTAAATTTGGCCCGCCATTCCCAACTCTTTCATTTCATCTCCCCTCTTTCTCTCAGATATTCTCATTTCCTCTTACTTTCATCAAATCAACTATCTGATAACTCTTACTGAGACGTCATCACATCAAACTTAGAAACAGTAGATATCCAATTTTCCTCCTCCTCCTCCTTCTCTGATCAATGATGGCCTTTTTTGATTGAGAGAGGGTTTTACAGATTATTAATGAGATACTCCATCCGCTCTTTATTATAATAAGGCATTTTGATTCTATCTTCGGTTTCACATATAATGTCTTTTTAATTAAAGTAAAAATCATAAAAATATTTTTTAGTGATTAAGAGAACATAACTAATATAAAATATATTTTTAAATTGTTTCTTTAATTAAAAAGATATCCCTTTTACTCTATTAAAGCAGAAGACATGAAACTTATGTGGCAACTACGTATGCATCTATTTTGGCTCCAATGCACCATATTTCAGATTTCATGAGTCTTTTTGCCACGTTTAAATCTCTTTTAATTAGAAGTTATATTTTTTTAAAAAACACATGTTTTACTACAAATAAGTATCAGTTACATTTCAAACGCATGGATATATTCATTCAAATTCAAATGTCCAATCGTATAGTTTTGCAGGCTTAATATAAACAAAAAATAAAAATACCTAAATACAACAATTAAGAATAATGCCTTATAAACTAATTATTTATTATTCTCTTATAACCTCAGATTTATAGGTATATTTTTTTAAGCCCCAAACTATAACATAAATGATATATACGCCAAATTAATTCCTCAAAAAATAGTAATTCGATTAGATTTTAATAAAATAGTAATTTAGAAGGGGGTGTCCGGGCATCTGCCTGGGCCAAACATCCAGTCCTAGATTAAATCTAGGACGAAACCAAAATGTCTTATAATAAAAATCGGAGGGAGTATACTTTAGGGATGTGTTTGGTTTGGAAGGTAATTTACTGCGTGTGGTGGTACGAATTTCAGAGGCAAAACAAACAGGCCTTATTGTTTTAGAAACAACTGATTTTCACTGGTGTATATCTCCCGCCTCCATCCCGCGAAAAGCTTTTAACAGAATCTGCAGCCGAGAAATTATGGTTAACGGAAACGAACCAGAGCCTCCACCGTCGCCGCCGCGAGGACAATATAGCCACGGTCAACGGTCGAAATTCGTTATAAATATTCCATCCTACGAGCAAGTGCTGGAAGGCTCTCAAATTAAAACGACGCCGCCGCCTCTCTTTCAGCCATCCACCTCTTTCAGTCAAGCCTTCAATTTCGTCAAGGAGACGGATTTCTACGTTCCGGCGCCGGCACCTCCACCTCCTCAGCCTACCTCAACTGCCCCTCTAAGGTCGGTCTATCATCTGTGTCTTTTCGTTTTTTCTTCGGAATGTTCTCAGGAACCGGGTTTCGTTTTTTCCTTTTGATTGAAGTTCTGAGTTTGTTGTTTTAGGCAAATTGGTCAGTTCGAGGGTTCTTCTACGTCTGCAAAGCCGTCGACTTCAGCTTCTAGTATACCGAGTCGAAACGCCATCCTAGTTAGCCACAGACAGGTGAATTTTAATGCTCTATATGCATACATTAGCGTGTAATGTTCGAATGATAGTTTCTGTATTGATTATTAGAGTTCAATGCCGTCAATTTGGTGATTGATTGTATGCTTATTCTGAATATTCTTTAGTTCTATTCGTACTCGATTGTAACCCTTTGATTGGACTCTATTTGGAATGAATAGCTCGTGAAATAGTATGTAACCTGACATGGATATAAGGGAAACTCCAACACCTCTATTTTGCCCGAAAATGAGATGTATAAAACCTCCTCTGACACAGCATCAAAACTGATGCTATTTCTATTGTACAGTGATGAGCCGAATTTGACCCTTTGACCTTAAAATATGATGTTTGGTTTTAGTCCTGTGTAGATTGGATTGTCTGATCTTAAGCACCATTGTGGTTTATACTCCCAGTAACCGTTAGATGTATCTGCCTAATATGCCTGTTGAAGACTGGGTTCGAGCTGTTGTTTCTCCTTTGAATCTGGATTACTGGATATGTGTGTTTTCCTATTTTCTGTTTCTTTTTCCTTACTTTTGGCAACTGTGATATGCAGAAGGGAAATCCTTTGCTGAAACATATAAGGAATGTAAGATGGTCATTTGCAGATGTTGTTTGCGACTATTCCTTGGGTCAAAATGCTTGCGCTCTGTATCTAAGGTTTGACCTTGTCATTTCTTTAGAACTTTGTTTCCTGCATCTACTATGTGTTGTGATTATCAATTTCTTTTTTGATGTAAGCTCATTATGTCCTTTATCATGACATCCGACCTCAACTTCTTGTTGATTGCAGTCTTAGATATCATCTTCTTCATCCAGACTATCTTTATTTTCGGATAAGGGAATTGCCAAAGAACTTTAAGCTTCGTGTAGTTTTGTGCCATGTTGATGTTGTAAGTATCAGCAAACATTGAAATCTTTATTATTATCACAGAATTCCTTTCTTTTGGGGGTTTCAAATACGCATTTAATGCAATTACTAATAGCTTTTCTGATTCCAGGAAGACGTGGTTAAACCGTTGCTGGAAGTTACAAAAACTGCTCTCCTTCATGACTGTACTCTTTTATGTGGTTGGAGGTACCTTGCTTTCCCCAGTATAGAAAAATATTACGAGACGAGGATTTTAGGTTGAGTTTTTTTTTATTGTCTAGAGTTTTAGCCTTGACTTTCTCATCAGTTGGGCTTCACATATAACAAGTTTCAAATGATTCAGAAGATTAGCCATTCCAAATTTGGTTACTATTAGCAACGTATGGATGGATGCCTAGCCTTTTCCTTAGATGATGATTACTGAATCCTTTCTTGTCTCGTTCTGTTGCTTCCTCTTCCAAATCATTCCTGGAGTGTTAAATAACTTCATGTATTCTGATACTGTGAACTCCTTTTCATCTTAATACCAGCTTGGAAGAATGTGGTCGGTACTTGGAGACAATTAAAGTTTATGAAAATAAACCTGCAGATCTTATTCAGGGGCAGATGGACTCAGATTATTTATCCCGGGTAAACATATTGTTGATTTTCTTTATCTTTTTTGTCTGAACTCTGAAGAGCCCTGTAAATTTGAATATATGTGCTAAACAATGAAAACCTGTGGCCAGACCGAATTTAAGTCATCTTGCTGAAGTCTCTGGTTACCTTGCGTTGCAGCTAAACCATGCTCTCACAACAGTACGTCATGTTAACAAGACTGATGTTGTCACTCTTGGATCCACCTTTGGGGTATGCCTATGGATTTTTCATGAGTTCTCTTTGCTGTTTATTATCTCTCAGATTGTTTCTAAAAGTGTGGTTTCTGCTGTTTGCAGTCTTTGTCTAACATCATGGACGCATCTATGGAAGATCTAGCTCGCTGTCCTGGCATAGGAGAGCGCAAGGTACATGTCTAATTTTCTGTATTGTGCCCTTTCTAGAGTTTCTGGATTGGATGGTTTAGTATTTGGTCCACCACTAAACTTTTTAAACAAAATGGTGATGGTAAAAGTCTCCTGTCTGGCTAGGTTTCTTTCAATTTCCACTATATACTATGAAGTTGGATACTGAAAGGTTTCTTTGCTGACATACTCTGAAACATATGAAATCCTCCTTTTTCTCATTTTATCTTCCTTCAGAATTCCTCTGGGGCAGGCCGGGTTGATTGTTTGTTTGCTGATCATTACTTAGTATGTCTGATTGTATGCTTCAGGTGAAACGTTTGTATGACACTTTTCATGAACCATTCAAGCGTATAATTCCCAACCATTCATCCATCCAAGAAAACCCAAGTACAGTCAACGCTGAACCTAGCTCCATCAGTGAAAGTAAAACTGATGACAATGAAATTGGTGGTGCAAGTAAGAGGAAAAGTACAGAACCTGAAGTGACTGTTAAATCTGCACTCTCAGCTGCTTTTGCCAAATATTCTGATAGAATTAGTAGAAAGAAAAGTAAATCAGAGACGAATGATGCTGAAGAGGCATCTGTTGATGTTACAGATGCAAGTCCCATAGAAAAGAATACCGATAATGAGCCTGCTAATGGTTTGAACAAAAGATAAATTGGCCCAATTCAGCTGAAACCAGTTGTATGGCTACCAGAAGGTCGCAGCTTTTGGCGAATACATCTTACAGGTCACCATAATCATCATCTCTGAAACGCAGGCATCATGTACACCATCTAAGGTAACGGTTTTTTTTTTTTTTTTTATGTATCTTTTTGTAAACTGTGTACGAATAAGGATTGTGAAGAAGCCTACACATTGAAAGTTTTCTAAGTTCCAGGAAAATGAGGCTATCTATAAGAAGCTGTAATAGAAGTTGCTGTAAATGTAGTACTGTAGTAGAAACCTGTTGGCACTTTTTTTTTTTTTTTGAGTAAAGGAAATTTATTTTATTGAAGTGTAGAGAAAAGGGAGTTTTGGTTACAATGTTTTGCTAAATTATGCTCTAATTCTAAACTATTTCTACTTACTTTACTAACTATAAAGGACCGATTTACGATTTGATGGTGGAGTATTTCCTTTATTACATCCTGGATTTCTACTGCGGCCTTTTCTGGTTGTGCAATGACCTTAATGAGATTTAGTGAGTCCGTTCCTATTGTGGCGGTTGTGATTCCATTTTGTAACGCAGACCTAATTGCCAGTAGACATGTATAGGCTTCTGCTTGAAGTGCAGATATTGCCATAAATTTCATAGTTTGATTGATCCTGGAGAGAGTATTTTGTGCCATAATCGTCCATGCTCCTGCAGCCTCAAAAGTTTCCTGTTGGAAAGCTCCATCGAATAGGATTGTCGATCTATCAGACTGGACTGAGGGATGTGAATTATATTCTTCTGAATGATTGTTTCGAGGCCAGTCTTGATTCCAGTTTTGTATCAAGCTCTGGTATTCTGCTTTAGCGCTGTTGAGTACTATTTCTGGAGTTTCTTTCTGGTTTTCCCAGTAAAGCTTATTTCTACTTTTCCAAATATGTCATAAAATTACCAATGATTCTTCCAATGATTCTCAATCTGGTGCGCTGGCGATCCAGGTGGCAAGCCATTGCTGGATAGATTCCTGATTGCTACACTCGAAGTTGAAACCAAATCTTGACAGAAACCATATTCTTCTTGTTTTGTCACACTCTATAAAAATATGTGTGCTATTTTTCTCTGTTAATTGACATTCTAAGCAAACAGGGGGAGTGAGAATGCCCCTTTTTCGTAGCTGATCAGATGAGGCACTTCGCCATTTAAAATTTTCCTGGTGAAGTACTGTATTTTGGCCAGTACGCGTGTTGTCCAAGTTTTTTCCATACCTTTGCTTGAGAAGGCCATATCTGAGGACGGTTTGAAGGCGAAGGCATCACTGAAGCAGCTTGATTTACAGCTTGATCGTAGCCTGTTTTGTGTACTGTCCATGGTTTTCATGTACCCAGATAAGTTCATCTCTTGAATTTAGATTGATGATAGGCAGATGAATTGTAAGAATCCTTTTGACATATTCTTCAGAAAAGAAAAAGGCGTAGAAGCGATGTTTTCCATTGTTTATTATTGTCAATAAAATGATATACTTTGAGACGCATAGGATTTGGAGAAGACAGAAAGCGTAGAGGATTTGATGAACCTGGGATCCAATCCTCATGGATTTGAACATCGTTACCAGAACCAATTTTCCATTTGATGTGGGGTTGTATCAGCTCCTTACCCCAAAGAATGCTTTGCCAGTCCCAGGAAGTATTTTTCCTTTGACCAACCTCTAGAAAATCAGTGTCGTTGCAATACTTTGCTATAAGCAGTCAGGCCATTAATGACTCAGGTTGCTTGATGATTTTCCAAGCGAGTTTTGCGATTAGTGCTTGGTTCATTTCTTTAGATTTCCGCATTCCTAAACAACCTTTTAACTTTGAAGAACAAACCTTGTCCCAGGCAATCCAATGAATGCCTTTTTTTTAGTCGGATTTAGACCATATGAAATTTCGTAAAATTTGGCCGATCTTTGTTGTTGTCGAAGTTGGCAATTTGAAAGCCCCCATGATATATAGTATTGAAAAGGATAATGCTGATTTAGCTAACGTTATTCGGCCTTGTGTAGAGAGAGAAGCTGTTTTCCAGGAGGTAATTTTCTTTGTCAATATGGAGATTATGCTTGAAAAGCATCGTTGCTCAGATTGCCCCAAATCAAAAGGCGCACCTAGATAGGTATCTTCTAATAATGGTCTTTGTATATTTAGTGTGATCTTGACCCATAGAGCGTCGGTGTAATTCATTCTGGGACTGAGAAAAATACTTGATTTGTGAAAGTTGATATGTTGTCCCGACCATTTGACAAAACTAGAAATTTTGTCTGCTAACTCATTGATTTGTTGATGTGAACATTCTGTGAAAATTATAGTGTCGTCCGCGTACATCAAGTGTGAAATTCTCGGTGCTTGCTGTGAATTCCCACTGGTGCATTGCTTTCGGACTGATTGAGGACTGAGGAAAATGCTTGCTGAGTAATTAGAAACAAATACGGAGAGAGAGGACAGCCTTGTCGGACTCCTTTAATTGGTGAGAAGAATGGGGAATACCATCCACTAATTAGGACTGAATATCGTACCGTCGTTAAGTATTGCAGCATCCAATTGACCCATTCTGACGGGAATTTCATTTTCTGCATTATTTCCTTCAGAAAATGCCAGGAGACTCGATCAAAGGCTTTGTTCATGCCAATTTTAATTGCCGCTAATCCCTTCTTCTTTCCTTTGTGATGTTGAATATGGTGTAGCAGTTCGTTTGTGATGATGATGTTTTCTGTAATATTTCTTCCAGGAAAAAACCCGTTCTGTGATTCTTCAATGACTGTATGGAGAACCTTTTTTTAGACGGTTAGCTAAGATTTTTGCAATAATCTTATACTTTACATTGCTTTGACTAATAGGCCTGTAAGCATTTGCCGATTCTGGTGAAGGTTTTTTAGGTATTAATATTATAGTGGTATCGTTCCACCCTTCTGGCATTAATCCAATTTGAAAGAATTCGAACACTGCTTCAATCACCGAATCTCTAATAATATGCCAGTAGTTTTGATAGAATCCGACGGGAATGCCATCTGGGCCCGACGACTTCCAGGGGGGCATTTGCCAAACTGCTTGCTTGATATCTTCGGCCGTGAAGAGAGTTTGGAGCATTGCTATTTGGTCATCTGTTAATGTGACCGAGACTCTATCAATCAGTTCATTAAATGAGAAAAGTTCGGGCCGATCACAAACCTGTGTGTCTACATTGCAGAGTTTGATAGTGATGTTGGATGATATGTTGTATTTCTTGTGAATCTACAATCCATTCTTCCTGGTCGTTTTTGAGTCCTTGAATGCAATTGCTACCTTTCCTTATGGTGGCCCAACGATGATAAAATTTGGTGTTACGTTCTCCTTGAATCTGCCATAGCTTTTTAGATCTTTGTTGCCAATATAGATTTTCAAGATCAAATAATTCCTCCTGTTCCTTCTCTTTTGCATCAAGGAGCTTTTGGTTTTGCATCATTGGCTGGGAAGAGGATAAGATTGACAATTCTTGTAGTGTTTGTTGTATTTTTTTTGGTAAATAGCCGTATGTAGCTTGATTCCAATTTGTCAGATGAGTCAGGCTGTTGCTCAGATTGCTTGCTAGGCGTTCTATTGGAGATAGTTCATCATTGGAGGAAACCTGCCAAACCTTTTTGACTATCTATTTGCTCGCTTCCGTTTTTACCCAGAATGATTCAAACCTTTGATGAGGTTTGAAAAGATTAATGTTAGCTTTGACCGTGTCAAGTAGCATAGGCCCGTGATCGGAGATCATTATCGGAAAGTTCTGAATGTGAGCATTTGGATAATGAGTCAACCAAAGTTGATTTGCAAATCCTCGGTCTAGTCTTTCGTATATTCGTGCTCTGCCAGAACGTTTGTTTGACCAGGTGAACTAGGATCCAAAGTTTTCAATTTCTGTTAGATTTAGAAGTTGCAATATTTTGTTCAATTCTGGTGATGGATTATTAGTTGTAAGACGGCTTCCCCATTTATCTTGTGATGACGTGATCTGGTTAAAGTCTCCCGAAACAGCTACGGGATACAAAAGGGGTTGTACCATTCGAGTGATCAACGCCCAAACTGGCGCCCTCTTTTGACTATAAGGGCTGCCATACAAAAAGATACAATTCCATACTACATTCCTATCTACTACTTCAGCAAGAATGAAATTTTCACAACTAAACTTAACAGCTAAAATAACATGACTTTGCCAAAATAACGCTAAACCTCCAGCTTTCCCTATTGGAGGCTGGGTATAACTATTTGCAAAACCAAACGACTGCTGCCACTTACTATTTCTAAAACAATCTATCTTAGTCTCCATAAGAAAAAGAACTTCAGGCTTACCAGACTTTTGTAATTTATTCAGAAGCTTGGAGACAGAGGCCTTTGCAAGACCTCTGCAATTCCACGTTAGGAGCCTCATGGCGACTGCGACGGTTGTTGTGGGTCAACCATCGGCAAAGTCCTTGTCGTTGTCTCTTCATTTGTGGCTGGAGAAGATGAGTGAGAGTCGTTGCTGGGATTTAGGTCCGGCAAGTGATGGATTCTTTCTATGAGTAAGTTGACTATATCATTGTATTGAATTGTTAGAAAGGTGGCTTCACGCATAGGAGAATTTGGCTCCTCTGGCTCCTGACTACTGAAATGTTAGTCACCACATTATTGGCATTTTCTAGATCTGTTTCCCCCAAACGGCGTCGTGAAGTGTCGTTATTTCCAATAACTGTTGGATTTTTCGTTTTGCGGATGCTTTCCCTGTCTCCGAAATTATGCCCGCTTCTTGCATTGCCTAGTCCATAGTGGCGTCTGTGTCAGTGATTGGTGGTGACTGTGATTGTGGTGGAGGTTCCATGTGCTCTGGAACTGGCGGCGGCGGCGGCGAGTATTGTCTTGCAGGAGGGGAGACCTGGTTGTCACAATCTGGGGACATGCTCTGTGTGCCCGATGATTCGCCCAATTTACGCTTCCCCTCTCTGATTTGATGTCGTCTATCTGCCAGTGTGAGAGAGAGATCGGTGCCGGGTTCTATGGTGTCGTTTTCTTCGGCTATGGGACTGAGGTTAGTTTGGAATTTGTATATAGGGCAGATTGGAGAACGAGATAAATCAGATGTTAAGAGTTGAATGCAGGTTAATTTGGGTGGTGTGGGTTCACTATTAGTTACCGGGTTGGAAACAGATTGGGTAACAATGATAGATTTGGCCCATGGGTTCATGGTGAGCCATTGCTGAACTTCCTTAGAGTCTGGGTCCGAAATTATCAATACTACATCATTTGTTGGGGTGAGGTCTATGGGGCCCATTTCAATAGGTGTAATTGGGTTTCTGGATTTACTATATGCAGTAGTGCCCATAGAAAGTTGTAAGAGTGTGTGGGTATTAGTGGAGTCACGAACCTGGATTGCATTTCGGTAATTATGTGTCAACTCGTCCGGACATGTTGGTTGCCACGTGATGTATCAGGCACGTGGCGTCGGGTCAACTGCCACTTGTTGGTCTTTTGGAATATCTGAATCGATGGTGACGATAAAATTGGTCACAAATCACAATAACAATGCTGAAGAGATTTAAGAATAGTTGAATTTACTTCTCATCTTCTTTATACAGCAGAATTGTCCATATTTCATTTTTCACCTTTGGACAGCTTAGGAAAATTATATTGCAGATGGTTAAAAGCGCCAAAGAAACATTTTATAGCTTTTTTATCCTAGCCGCGAGGGAGAGTTCGTGTTATCGAGTCAAAATTTCATACACTATACTAATATCTTGAGCACAATGTAATAAACATGCAATTTTTGTCCATTTTGTATCGTGTTTTCTCCAAACAAAAGCAGTACCTTCCATCTCAAATAAATAATAAAGAAATTTAATCCTAAAATGAACTATTTGTCTGGAAAATTATGATTATTGTTGTATACCATATCGACTGATAGTGTCATTTGGTAATCAAATGAAAATAAATCATGCATAATGTATACTTGCAAAATTACTAAAAATTGTTTAGAATATATTGTTGCACAACAAATAGAACAAATGTTTAAAATGATTATATTAAAATATAAGTTACTTTAGACTGGACAGGTAAATTACGGAGTCAATCATTTAATAATTAATTTGTGCATTGAGTGATATATATTTTAACCATCATTAATTGTTTTGGAACTATAACTAAAACTAGATTAAAAAAAAAGTGATTAGCATCATTTATTAGGGAAAAGTTGAAAAATTAATCTTTAATTTGTCTAAAAATTTTAAAACATCTTATATTTTAAAATATTTTCTCCAAACGATCTACATTTTAAAATGCAAGTAGCACTTTTCTTTCAGAACATTCCGTTGAATTTCCTCACAAATTACAACAATCAATTAAACAATTGCTTCTCTCGCCTTCCCATTTTAACTTCTCTAAAGTAAAAGAATTTTAAAATAAACATATTATGAAAGTTGAGATTTTTCCTGATCTCCCCAATTAACGTGTGGGACCCTTTCCCCAAGTATTATACTCTTCCATCTTCATCCACCTTCGTTTCCTTTTCCGACGAACACCACCCAAAGAAATAAAAGGTTTAAAAAAGAAGGAAAGAATCTTCCCCATTGATGAAATACTCGCTTTGCTTCTGACACTGAAATTTCTGGGATTTTCGTCCTCCATTGTTTTCTGTTGCAAATTAAAGAAAACTATGGGCCAAATTCTGAGTAAAAGACACCATAATCATCATCACAACCACCACCACCACCACCACCACCAACAAAACAACCACCACCAGCAGCTTAACAATCCACAGCCACCTACGCCGCCGCCGCCATCCACGCCACTACCCCTACCGGCTCCACGTCAACAAGCACCGCTTCCAAATCCCGCCCCGCCACCGCCACCGCCACAACCACCAGTTCCTACTACCTTTACTTTTGCTGCCAACGCCCCATATCCCTCCCTCCCGCCACCAACGCCGACTCCGCCGCCGCCTCCTCCTCCTCCTCAGCCGCAGTCTTTTCCTTACTACCCGCAATACAATTACAGTTACTCTAACTATGTGAGACCCGGCAACGTGATGGGTGCCCAACCGGGAAATTACTACAATCCATATTTTGTGGGTCATGGCCATGGGAATATGTGGGACCGGCCGCCAGCGGGGATTCAACTGCCTCTTATGCCGCCTCCGCCGCAGCCGGTGCCGTATGTGGATCATCAGAGTGCAAAGAAGATCAAGAATGATGTGAATGTTCACAAGGATACTATAAAGCTTGATGTCGATGAGGGGAATAGTGATTGCCACTTGGTGTCATTTACATTTGATGCCTTGGTTGATGGAAGGTTCTGCCGATCTTGTTCTTACCCTTTTTTAATTGTTTTGTATGATTAATTGGTTTTGGCTTCAATTGTATCTGTAATTCTATGCATTTTGCTGTGGTCTTCGTCTGGCACAAGGGTTGTTAATCTGATGCATTGATGATTAACATGGTTGATGAACTGATGTTCTAATCTGCGTATTGATCAACATGTCATAGATAGGGAAATCTATTGGGATAGTCTTGCTAGGTGTGAATTCACACTTTTCTTTGTAGAGTCAACTATTGTTCTGTAGTTGCAATTACCCAAGTCTAGCCATGTGCAATGTACCTTCTCCATTTCTTATTTTTGCCACTTAAGTCCAGGATTCTTTCTCGCTAACTTAGATGTCTGTTTTGGAACATCTTTTACTGGAGTCTTTCTGTCAAATTGGTCCTAGATGACGACTAGCTCCTAAAGATTCTCATTAAAGGGTGTAATAATAACAACTGTGTTGTAATTATCTCAAATGCAGGACCATTTGTTGACAGAAATTATTACTCATGGCTCTTTTCTTTTGATTGTTCTCTAGGTAGATTGCTGTAGATTGCTGTTATGTTTGTCGTAGATTGCTGTTATGTTTGTTGTAGATTGCTGTTAGCGAGCCTGTTTCTTTTGATTGTTTTGTAGGTAGATTGTATCAAACAATTAAAGTCTGAATATTGTTCTGCCGCATTTTCTTTGAAGTCAAGGTTATTCTTTTTCACCTTAGGGATCATAATTATGCTGATATTATAACTTATTGTAATATTGTTAGTTGGATTTTGGAAACGTTTATAAGAGTAACATAAATACTCCTGAATTCTTGACGCCTTGGCGAAATGATGAATAACTTTGATTGATTACCCAGACGTACCTAATTAGTTTCTCTTCTGGTTATTTGGTGTTGATTTGACAGTATGTTGTTGTGTCCAACTATAATGTGTTTTTTTCGCCTTTTTAGTTCCATGCTGCTTAGAACCAGTGACTGACATGGGTCGAAGTACTAATAGAAGGAAGACAACTTTCATTTCTGATCGAAGATATGGGATTTTCAGAAATAGCAAAGGAAATAATGAACGAAATCTTTTTCTTATCATTCTTAGTCAACTAAATGTTTCTGCGTTGCTTTAATGTTTTCTTCTTACATCCTTATATTTTGGAGATATCCTAAACATAGTTTCCTATAACAAAATTCTGCCAAATGAATGACCAAAAGATTAAACACTTCTAAGATGTAATATCTTTTTCTGAAAAGAAGTCCAATGATCTCATGAAACAGTTTGTGAAGTCTATAGTATGCTGCCCTGCACTGATTCTCCCAAGTTTGAAAGAAAGCTTGTCTGTAGCTATATATCTCAATGAAAAGCTATTCCACCTAACTCTTTTAATGAGCTCTTTCTTTTTGTTCTCCCAAAGCTGACATTGACGAATGGAATGTTTCCCCAATCTTTGAGCTCAGAAATCCAGTTAGTTTGAGTGAATGTTCAGGATGTAAATGGAAAACAAGTTACATGATTCTACACAGTTACTATAGCTAGGTATCCTGCTTTGCTTGCTGGAAAAGCTTTTCTAATCAAATTGATGAGTAATGCTTCATTAGTGGTGGATTTTGTTCCTTCTTAAGCTATTGCAAGACCATCAAGCTGCTGGAAGCATACTGTTGTTCCTTGGGGTGCTGATCTACTTAGAAGGACAATATCAAATAATTTTGTCCTGCTACATATAATTTTTATGTGGTCATTATGTTATCCATTTGGGAAAATCACTTCTTCATGATTACCTTCTGGTACAAAAATACTCTTTTCATAACTTCAAAAACCCCTTGCTGATCAGATCACAAGTTCAGACCTCTTTAAAATTTTATCTTAACATTTTGAATTGTTGATGTCACGTAATAAGGTCTGTTTCAATCCACTAGAAGCTCTAGTACCAACTGCTGTCTGGGGATCCAAAAAATAGGGTTTCAAAGTGGAACAGATTAATGTCTTCAATAGATAGGAATAAACCATGAAAGAATTCCGTCTATAAAATGTTCATTTTCTCTTGAAACCCCTATCTGTGTAAATGACTGTGCTCCTATTAGTTACCTGTGAACTGATTGTAACTAGACTAAGGACAGTAAAGTTCTTAACCATATCATAGGTTGTCCTGCATCAGGAGCTCTCGATATTCCCATTTAGGTTTTCTCAGGAAGCTTTCTGAAGGTTGTTTGTTTTGTGATTCGGATGTTTCTCCTTCTCTTTTTTCATGTTTCAGTTAATAATTTGATATTCACATGCTAATGTCATAATCTAGTAATAAGGAAGTATTCAACATCTTGAAGGAGCACCAACTAAAAAAATTTGATCATATTATGAAGCATTTTCTTTATTTTTTGTATGGATGGTGGCTAAGGTAACAATGTCGGGCCTTCCCCTGTTGTTCTGAATGAATTAATGGATGTTGAATGGGACCAAAAAATAAAATTGTTTGACAGGACTTTTTTGCACGAATAGTTTGACCACATAATTGTCAAACTAGTTGACATTTAGTTGCTGTTTACTTATTCTTGAATGGGTTTTTTATGCAGTTGTGGGGTAAAGAAAGCCAAAAAAAAAAAATTGGTTCTTTTCAACATATATAGATATATTGGGGTTTGGGGGTTTTTTTTTGGGGGGTTAATTTCTGAGATGTTTAAACCTGCAACATAAAAGATAGTAGTACCTGAAATTATGTGTCAAGGCCACAGAACTTCTTTAAGATCTAATAGCAGGACTGAAGTTATCAAACTCTTCCGTAGGATGCCAAATGTTGAATTAGAAGTATAATGTAGGCTTTGGTGGATTAAGACCTCATATTTATTCAGTAAATAATTTGATTATGTGAAGGTCAACTTGCAGCTTTTATTTGACAGTTTTATATGCTTGTTGACTTGGTACTGCTGTTCAGGAGTCATTCTCCGTGGTTGTTATATCCCTTCGGAGGACGACTTCTCGTCTGCAGTTCGTTTTTATTCACAAAATTATCTGTACTCCATCTTTTTGTTTTTTTTTTTCAAACATAATGGATCTAGGTACAGGTTGTATTAATAAATCTTTGGCCTTCAAACATAATATCTACGGTGTAACACTTGCTTAACTTGGAAACATCTGAATTGATATCTGTAGGTCCGAAAGATGAAACATTAAAGACTTTCCTTGAGTAATGTAGGGTTCCAATCTATGTATGTATGATTTCTTATTGGTTGGCCTTAGCTTGGGATGCTTTGCTAAAGTGCAGATGATATCATAACTCCACTTGCATCTATTTTCCTTTTCCTTTTTAATGTCACGTTAGGTAACTTTTGTAAGAAAGACAATTTAGAGGTATTAGGTGTGTTCAAGCTATATAGGTTTGCTTGATACGCTCTCTTTTTGCCTTAGTTCAACAAGCTTACTAAGCATCTCTGGAGGACATTTCATAATTCCTGAATAGATGCTTTAATCTTACCTTAAGACTGTAAGCTATGTGGATCTTTTTTCTTTGTTACCCTTTTGTTGCCTCTTAGATTGCTCTTAGTTTCCACCTTTGCTGGTTCGGTCTTCTCTAAACCCGCTTGGCTATTTTGCTACCGAAAACAATATGATAAGGATCTGAAGTAACTTAGTGTGGAGATTGAATATCTCATTTTTTAAGAAGAGACCTGGTGTTAATACCGAGCCATAACATCATTGATTAGATCATTTATGCACCTTAAGGGCATCTGTTTATTTATACTGTAATTTCTTTGATGCCAAGTCCTGAGACTTCTTGTATTCATCTCAGCTGCTGTTATCCTGTTCTGAACCCACATAAGGAGATAAAGTTTAAGTCGTAGTCATTACTGATATCATGATTTGGCTAACAAATTCGTGGAGAATGTGAGCTAAATTTGAAACATTGTGGCTTATTTTTGCGTGTTTCCAAATTCAGCTATAGTTGCAAAACGCAAGCTTTTTTTTTTTTTTTTTAGAATTAGTATTTTAATTGTTACATAATAGAGGAGTCTCCGTAGTAAAGAAGTATCTTCAATTGGTTGATTTTGAGGAGATGTTCTAATGCTTTATTAGCATAATCTGTATCTACTAGTATTATATTCGGTCAACTTCAATGAAAAACCGATCAACATTAAGTCACCTATTTGTTAAAGGAATTGCATATTATTAGTAATAGTTTTTACTTGTCAAACAAATCATAGACCCGGAATATCTGGTGATTCAGGCAGTCTTGTAGCTGGTTAGTTTCTTGCCGTATTTGATATATTTTATCTTTTCCTGCTGTTGTAATAGCAACAGGTACTGGGTCGTTTTCATGATTTCTTCGCTTAGCTGCTTCAGATTAATTAAATTAAATGGACATAGTTTAGTTCATTTTTCAGATCAATGAACTAGTTTAATTATGTGCACTTCTTGCCTGTTTTCCAACTGGGCCCAATAAAACATGATTGATCATTGAACTGAAATGAAAACCCTAGTTTAACCTCGTGGTTGTTAGATATTAAGCAGAATTTATCTTACTAACGTTGTTACTTCTTCTCGGTTTCAGTATCACTATCTACTATTACGCAAAGGAAGGAACAAAATGCACATTTACCCCTGTCTATCCCGAGATGTATGTGCCAGTGAAAATTCCTTTCCAAAAAGGATTGGGCCAGAAATTCTGCCAACCTTCCGGAAGTGGAATCGACCTTGGATTTTTTGACATTGACGACTTGTCGAAGCCATCCGATGGAGATGTTTTCCCACTTGTAATATCAGCAGAGTCAAGTCCATTATCAACTTTGACAGAGGGTCAGCCCGGCGCGGAAGCAGAGAATGCATCTCCTCATGCTCAAATAACTCAGGCTGTGATAGAGAAGAGCCAGGATAATGGTTTCAAAGTTAAAGTAATTAAGCAGATTCTGTGGATAGATGAGGTTAGGTATGAGCTTCGGGAGATCTTTGGTATCAGTGACCCAGATGAAGTAACCATTAATGACAAGGACTCGGGTAAAGAATGTGTTATCTGCATGACGGATCCCAAGGACACTGCAGTTCTGCCGTGTAGACATATGGTGAGAAATGAGAATCCTGCTTGTCTTTGTTTATATCTTTTCTGTCATATATTGCATGTGCCTTTTCCATATATTGTATCAGAGTCAAACGCTCTTGATTGTGTTATCGGTGTCTTGTGTGTGAGATTGTCAATGTTTTGCTTGGAAATCATTTGACAACATTACTCCCTCCGTTTCTTTTTATAAGTCACTTTAGATTCTGCACAAACTTAGAAGACAATCATTCAACAATTTATTTGTCCATTAGATGTCTTTTGAAACCCTCATCAACTGTTTTGGAACTATAAATAAGACTAAATGAAAAGAGGTTGGCAGCTTTTATTCAGGACGAAGTTGGGAAGCTAGTTATCAATTTGCATCGAAATCCTAAAACAACTTGTATTTTGAAATATTTCTCCAAACCTAAACGAGTTATAAAAAGAATATTAGGCCCAAGGTAGGGTATAAACCATGGTAGTGTTATGGAGGCATTTATTGTAAAATATGAAGCTTGGGATAAATGCATGTAGGCAAACTCAGCGTTCCAAATCTTTCGCAACTTTAGTTATTCCAGGAGAAGAAATAAGTAGGAAGCTACTGTGTGATTCAACCTGGAGAACCATTGCTTATTTCCTTGGACTGTGATGTTCCTCTAATACTTGTTTGGTATTCCAGTGTATGTGCAGTGAATGTGCTAAAGAATTGAGGATGCAATCGAATAAGTGCCCGATATGTCGCCAGCCAATAGAAGAACTTCTGGAGATCAAGGTTGATGAAGGTAAATTAACAACTGATAAACACTTCATATTCTTATAAGTATCGCTTCCTCTTTTAAGTTTGCAATTACATGCCGTCTTTTTTTGCCATCAGGTGTGTCATGAGCTGGTTCTGCAAGGGCCTTGATGATGACTGTATAAAGAAAACTGAGCGGGGTGGCAATACAAGTCAAATATACTAGATTTTGTACATTGATTTGACTGGATGATACAGAGTTACATTCTGCTTTTTTCCATTGATGTAATTTTCCTGAAAATTCCCACTTCTGAGGTTCCCAGAAAGCTTTGGATTTCGGTCCCTTTTGTTTTTTTTAACAATTTCAGGTACCTAAAACAAGCAAGATCAGGGAATCAGACATGGGTTTTGCTTCCTGAATGAGCAAGTGATCAATAGGGTTGTGTGTATTTTTAGATGATAGTAGATTGGGATGTAGGACTGGGGGAATATTTGCTGAACAAGTAAAACTTTTAATGGTCGACTGTGTGACTGTGTGTGGTTTGAGTCTAATTCTAAGGTGACAAACTCCTGGGATGGTGTGAAAAGAGAGGAGCAATCTGTCACGTGTGGAGGGAACATTGCTGCATTTCTTTTCTCTTTTTTGTTTTTGGGATAGAGATAAAGTGAAAGAGAGGAATCCAGTTATGATCCCCAGGTTGTTTTAAAGGTATCTGGAGCTTGTTACCTTTGATCTTGGCAACTGGAGAAAAAGTTTTTACTCTGGAGGTCCAGTGCCTTGGATTTTCCCTGATTATAAAAGAAATTCCTTCAATTCTTCTAAAGAAAGTTGCTTGCGGTTTTCATTTTTAAAGATGGCAAGTTTTATTTTACTTTTGTGGTAATCGACTTACAAATAATAACACGAAGAGTTCGTTAAGATGACAGTGAATTCATTTAGTAATATATGCGTTTTCTTTTCATTCATTTGGTGGGCAACTTATCATACGAAAACTGGTGGTCCAAATGACCTTCAAGATGATGTATACACTTTAACCTTGAGCTCCTCCAATTGTCAAATCGGGTCCGGTTGGTTTGGGGCAGGCAGTTCAAAGGATCCTTCAAGATCTGTGGTACATTTATATCAGGAAAAAATAAATGAACCAAGTCCTCAAGGGTCGAGTCGGGTCAAATGGCAGTGGGTTACGGACAAAACAGTGAGGGTTCATGGTGGGGACTGGGGAAGGAAGAGCGTCCTTGATGGGCAACAGAAACAAGATTGGATTGAACCTGCTCCATTAAAAAACCTAGTAGGTCATGGCTGTCTTAAAGCCCATTCGCAGCTCTTTTGATGCCTTCACTAAAGGAGAGCTAGCCGATCACAACTGCTGTAATCAGCTAGCTCTCCTATATATCAAGTAAACAATATAAAAATATCGTTATATAATTGTAAAAAAATTCTTTTTATCTTAAAAATGGTGCAAAAAAAAAGAAAAAGCATTATAAGACGTTTATTTTATAGGACAGAATAAGTGCATCAGGAAATTGTTTTACCAAATGTAATGAGTGATTTTTACCCTGAGATAAATCCAAAAATGTACACGGCGTACGTACGAAGTCCTGCTATTGATGACTGATTGATTGAAAACTATATATTGGTTACCATATGAAAACTGAGGTCCCAAGACCATATATTATTGGAAAATTGGCATACAACTATATTCGGCTTAGTTAGTGCAAACTTTTAGATCCAATGAATGATGAGCCAACCATATCTAGTTTGTCGTGATTGGTCGTTTGGTTATATTTACAAATGAAATTATTCAATATATAATTTTGTAACTGCATTTCCAAATTCAATTTCTATTTTTACTAAATAATTTTGGTAAGAAGGTAAATGAGACTATATTGAAAATTAAATTATTTTATTACATGAATTTTATAGACTAATGATTAAAAATTGTTTTTTTTTTTTATGGCTCACTTATTGGAGAAATACCAATTTCTCCTTTCAGTAGTTCGTTTCACTTTCAGTGTGTCACGATCATTATCATTATTGTTTTTTTTTATTTTTTATTTTCTAGAGTCAGTCCATCGTCCATAGTGGGTCTAATGATCAACAAAAAAGCATGCACTATTTATTCTATATACATTTCATCAGTTTACTAAAAGCCACTGTTGTTGGAACACTAGAGGAAAAAGGAGATACCAGCCAAACGCTTGGTATACGGAGTAATTAAAAATATTGGACAAATTTAATCATTACTAGAATTTAAAAATAAACAGTTACAATCATTATTAAAATGTTTATTCAAAAAGTTTTGCCTTACAAAATGTAGGTACCCATATCAAAATGTAATATAACCAAAAAAAAAAAAAAAAACCTTGTAGAGAAGCCAATGCTTTGCTGTTTGATTAGGTTATGATAGTTGTTACAAAAATGAATTATTATTATTATGTAGACTATTATAGTGCTGGCTTTCTGGGCTCACACGAAAGATAGAAAAGCGTGGATTTATACAGTAATTAACGAATTCGAATTGGACTTGTCTTTGTCCATCGAGGCACTTTTGATCATATTGTTTTGTTGCATTCACTTATGATAATGGAATGTTTACATACTTTAAAGTCGTGGGTCAATTTTTAAAATGAACACTTTTTCCCTCCTTTATGGGGATATTATCATTTGGCCAATATTTGCCAAAGAAGAAATCGGAAAAAAAAAATGTGTGATCTCAATTGCCAATAAATCTACTAAACATTATGATAAGATACATGCCTAACTTTTTAATAATGACATCAAAAATGTTACATAATTGTTTGAAAAAAATAATACCAACGAATTAAGTAATATTATTACATGAAGTATTCCCACAACTAAATAATTGGGTTCGAAAAAGTAACTAGTTTATTTATTCTGTAAAAAAGAATTTACACAAATCGAATGGAGATTAGTCTGACGACATTGTGACTCAAATTAGTTAAAACCCTATTCAGTTAAGTGCAATCAAACTCTGCACTTTTGCAATAAGCTATTCATTATTGACCAATAATACAATAACACAAATTCGAGGGCATTTAATTTATCCTCATCCGTCAAGTGGTCCACTACATAGTTGTCACATTGTAGTCATATCATCATGTGTAACTATACCTTCTTGAATATCACTATTCATTGTCACCATTGTAGTTATCATTTATTCATCCTTTAATACATCCAGTCTCTTTCTGCACATCTTATGTTGGTGATAGATCTTAGATTGAAAATACGGAGAAAAATCCAGATTATGCACTCAAAATTTTCAACAAAAGTGTGCAGCTTGAGGTCCTTAATTTTGTCACCTCTACACAAACATCAATTTCCTAACCCCCGCGGTAGATGTTTAGCGTGGCGCACATGGTGATAGCGTTAAGCGCTTGATCATCCTTTGAAGGACTTGCGTTCGAACTCCTCTGAAATTTCATATTATGATACTGAATTAACGACTTTGCTTGGTATTCCCTTCGGTTCTTATTATAATGCATTTTGATTTCGTCCTAAATTTAATCTATGATATTTTTTTAATTAAAAAAAAAACCATTAAAAATATATTTTCACATTCGTTGTGTTCTACTCATTATTATGAAATGTTTTTAAGGTTTTTAATTTGAATGAAAAAGACATCTGAAATTAAACGTAAGACGAACTCAAAATAAGAACCGGAGAGAGTATATGAGTTTGTCATTGGATACTTAAACATTATCGAGAAAAGAAATGATAATATTCCTTTTGTATTAAAAAAAAATTACATTGAATTTTGACCATTCTATTGATTTTCACTTGATGTGAATTATATTTTGGGGAAATAAACCAGTGAGTAGAAGAAGGCAGCTAGCTAGAGCATAGGTGTGAGGGAGAAGGAATGGAAGCCTTTTTGTCATACATTTATAGAAACAGTAAATTAAAACCTGTAAAGTTGGGGGTTGGGAGATTCTTCAATGCTCATAAAAGAAGATATAGACTGGTTTGTGAAGAAGAGGTAGTAGTAGGCAGATAGCTAAATAAGAAAGAATTGGAGTAGGGAGTTAGCTAATAAGATTGGACAAGATGTTTTTTCATCAGAAAAAAATCAGATATGCCGATCGGAGAGATAGCAGCTGGCTGTCAGTTTTGTTTTAGGCCAAGGAGTGGTTGAAGTTGATTACTACTCACTGCCACTAAACAACAACTCAACCAATTCTCTTCTCTACCTATATACATGCATTAACATTTTTATTATTTCCTTCGTCCTTAAAAATAATAATTTACAATGAAAATGAGGTCTTGACCTATAGTGATAAGGCTCTAAGTGGATCCCTTAAAGGTTATGAATCCATTCTTATCAAGGGTATGTAAGGATTATTTTTTCAGCTTTAAGTGGGATTTACTGAAATGGATCTTTTTTCTTAAAAATAATAATAACAAGTTATAATTAGTGAATTATTTCCCTGATAGACACAAAATACTGATCTTGTTAACGTCGTACAACTACATTCTCTAGTACATCAATATATATATATATATATATATATATATATATAATGAAATAAACTATTTTTCTTAGACATTTGAAGAGAATAGTATTTTGGTAGGAATCAAAACAATTTGTGGTTGGTTTTATTTTTTGATTGTGAAACCAAAAAGGAGGCAATGACTGGAGAAAATGAAATAAAAACATTTTATGAAATATCGGTTATGTCATGTTTAAATGGCGGTGTAACACTCAAATAAATACTATTTTTTCTGTTTCAAAATAATTATCCAGTTTGAATTTTTATTCTTTCAGATAAAATGGTACCAAAATTACAAATTTAAAACGCACGACACAATCATTCATTTTGGGATAAATTAAGGGAATAGAAAGAAATTCATAACCAAAAACCCCCCATTAATGCAAAGGTTACATCCACGTGAATATTCAAATATATCTTTGTCGCCAACCTACTAGTTGGGCTCCAAATCATTGAATGAATCATTTTGGTCCTTTTGCTGTTGTTGATTCCTTAAAACTAATTTATTCGATAAATGGAAAAAAAAAAAAAAAAGAAACAAAACAGAAGAAGAACAAGAAGATATTAGAAAGTTCCTCTTTGTGCCCGTGAAATGGAACCATGGATATTCCCCAGTTGTTAGGGTGGTAGATTTCACGAATTCTTATCTTCAAATACCCCTTTGTTTAATTACTATATCTTTGTGTAAAATTTTTATCACTTATTACAAAACTGATCATTTATATTAATTTCAAATTAAGACTTAGTTATCTCATGTTGTTGGACGATTAATAAATGGTTTTATGAGAAATGTTAGAGAAATGATGCAGAAACTCGATCCGAACCATGTTTTATGATTATCTCATTATCACTTATCACCACAAAACTCTAACCGTATTCACAGAGCTGATTTTTTTTTTCTCCTAAGCATAGAACTCTACTTGTTCTGAAAAAAAAAAAAATCAAATTTACTGTAGGGTTTTAATTAAATACGAGTGTAAGACCCAAAAAAAATAAAGTAAACGAAACCCATAATTTGTAGACCCACCCTTAAAAATAAAAAGAAAAGAAAAACGAAAAAGAAACTTTCAAAATATAAGCACTTTTCAATTTGGAATTTTAGCCGTTATTCAACGCAATGCATGTTTCGTCCTATTCCTTTTTTTCCCTTTCTTTTACATGTTTTCAATTAATTTAGCATGGAATAAAGAATTTGCATGATTTAGAAACGAATAGTTTGGACCGATAGATAGTGCCTTATATTAGGAGTCAACTTTCGCATATCGAGGAATTTCGGAGGGTCATTTTCTTCCTCATTTCACACTAGTCGATCGTCAGGAACCCTAGTACTAAGATATACTCCCTCTGTCTTGTAATTATTGTCCAGTTTGGATTTTTATTTTTAGTTCAAATTGTACTAAAAATAAAATTTCAAAATGGACAATAATTTTGAGACAGAGGAAATATAAATCGAGTCGCACGTTCGAAATCCTAATTCTATCGGCCTCCCAAATAGTTTGACG